ATGACTACTATATGTCTTATTAGTTATAACTTCATTTTCTCAAAGTAAATCTGCTTTTTCCTTAAAATTTATTTTTATTTCAAAGTATTCAGAATCTCTTAAATCTCATCAAGATTGTTTATATTTTCTAAACTCTCTCTCTCTCTAATAGATTTTTTTTAATCTGTATAGTTACTTAATTAACTCTATTCATTAAGGTGTAGGCAATATAATATCTTTTTCTTCATATATGATTTTTTTTATTTCTTCTTTATTGCGGACAGTAAGCAAAACTTCCGATATTAGTGGATTATTTAATTTTCTTTTAATTTTATATTCAAAATAGAGTGAATTTCCTATTCACTGATAATTTTACATGTCATTTATCCATTTTAGTTAGTATAGGCCAGTAGGTAAATCAGAAGGAAAATAATTTTAAACATATTTGGATTTATCTTTAAAAATAAGCATATGATTTAATTGTTTTCCCTGAAGAAGTTATGGTTAAGACAGCAGTGATTATTTATTTCACAATACTTGTATAATTTTCAATAACTTATTTCTTTCTTTAATCCTCATAAATTTTTCCCTGCGACATGTCTAAATATAATGGAGTTTCATATACCGTCAGTTCTTTTTGATAAGGTGCCTTTAATTTAAGGTGGTTTTTTAATTAAGGTGTGATATTGATTCTCAAATTTTTATTTTTAAAAAAATTTGGTTCTGATTTTTTTAGAACCATTAGACAAAATAAAAAGTATTTGTTTATGATTATTATATTTTTATTAATTTAAAAAAATTTAACTCTTTTAATATACTTATTAGAAATTTATTTGATTTATTTTTCTTTTTCTTTTTTATTGTAGTTGAGTTTTTTTTCTTCTATCTTTCTTAATTTAATTCAATTTTTATTTTCAAGATTTGCTTTTATTTTTTATTAATTAATATCCCGATATTTCATATTTTTTCTTCATTTTTCCTTCTAAATAACTAATTAATAATATTATTTTTGTTTAATATTTAAATAGTAACAATAAAATCAGTGATTAAGGTACATCAGACTTAGGTTTTGCTTTAGCAAATTGCACTAATCTCTCAAGTTTGAAACTCGATCTAAAGTAAAAACAGTTTATTTGTTTTGGATTTAAGATATTTTTAGTTTAAAAATGAATTTAAAACAATATACCTCTTTTAATTTTTTTATTAGCTTTTTAATTGATTTATTTATCATTTTCTTTTTTATTTTACTTGTTTATTATTATTCTATCTTTCTTAATTTAAATCATTTTTTATTTTGAACATATGTTTTTATTATATTAATTAATTTCTTAAAATTTCATATTTTTTCTTCAATTTTTCCTTCTAAATAAGTAATTAATTATATTATTTTTCTTCAATGTTTTAAAAGTAACAATTAAATCAGTGATTTAGGTGCATCAAACTTAGGTTCTGCTTTAGCAAATTGCACTCATCTATCAAATTTGAAACTTACTTTTCAGTAAAAGTTTATTTATTTTGGTTGATACATTTTTACTTTTAAAAATGAATTTAAAATAAAAAAACTCTTTTAATTTGTTTTTTAGCTTTTTATTTGATTTAATTTTGTTTTTTATTATTGTATTTGTTTTTCTTATATCTCATAATTTAACTTATTTTTTTATTTTTAAAATTTATTTTTTTAATTTATTTATTAATTCATTTCTTATTATTTCATATATTTTCTTCATTTTTTCCTTCTAGATATTTTCTTCAATATTTAAAAAGTAACAATAAAATTGGTGATTAAGGTGCATCAAACTTAGGCTCTGCTTTAGCAAATTGCATTAATCTCTCAAAACTGACACTTGATCTTGAGTAAATTCAGTTTATCTGTTTATATTGTGATAATTTTGGTTATAAAATGAATTTAAAAAACTCTTTTAATTTGCTTAGCTATTTATTTGATATAATATTCTTTTATATTTTAAATTAATTATATTTTTTCTTCTTGTATTTTTCTTAATTTAACTCATTTTTTTATTTTCAACATTTACTTTTATTATTTCATATTTTATTTAAATATAACTAATTAATTTTTTTTTCCTCAATATTTAAAAAGTTACAATAAAATTGGTGAATAAGGTGCATTAGACTTAGGTTCTGGTTTAGCAAATTGCATTAATCTCTCAAACTTGGCACTTGATCTTGAGTAGTTTATCTGTTTTTGATTGTGATATTTTTAGATATAAAAATTAATTTAAAACAATACAGCCCATTTAATTTCTTTATTTGCTTTTTATTTTTTATTTTACTTGTGTTTTTTAACTCATTTTTTTATTTTCAACATTTGCTTTTATCATTTTTAATTTATTTTTTACTTTTCATATTTTTCTTCAGCCTTTCCTTCTAAATACCTAATTAAATATTTATTTTTTCTTCAATATTTAAAAAGTTACAATGAAATTTGTGATTAAGGTGCATCAAACTTAGGCTATGCTTTAGCAAATTGCACTAATCTCACAAATTTGACACTTGATCTTAGGTAAAAACAGTTTATATGATTTAGATTGTGATATTTTTCATTATAAAAATGAATTTAAAGCAATAGTGCTCTTTTAATTTGTTTCTTAGCATTTTATTTAACTTGATTTACTTTTTCTTTTTCATATTTATTATACTTTTATACTTTTTTTTTTTTTTCTTCAACCTCTCTTAATTAAACTCATTTTATTACTTTTTTATCTATTGATTATTTCTTATTATTTCATATTTATTCTTAATTTTTTCCTTCTAAATACATAATAAATTTTTATTTTTTCTTAAATATTTAAAAAGTTAGAATTAAATTGGTGATTAGGGTGTATCAGACTTAGGTTTTGCTTTAGCAAATTTCACTCATCTATCAAATTTGACACTTAATCTTTTGTAAAAACAAATATATTATTTAAAAAAATATTTAATACCCTAGGGTACTGCCTTTTTTAAGGCTATTCAAAAATTTTTTAAAAGTTTATGGGGGGAGGGGGGTAATAGTATATTAGAACTGATAGTATTATAATAAATATAACTATTATAAAAAATAAATGATGATTTAAAATTATAAATTTTATTTTTAAAATAATAAATAAGGCTAAAATATCAAAATTAAAAGAATTTTTATTTATTTTATTAATCTAGTTTATAACTTATTCCTAAATTAAATTCTTGCATTTTTATTCTACTTGTTTATTTTTTTTCTATCTTTCTTAATTTAAAGCATTTTTTATTTTTAATATAAGCTTTTATCATTTATTAATTAATTTCTTATTGTTTCCTATTTTTTCTTCATTCTAAATAGCTAATTATTTAAATTATTTTTCTTCAAAATTAAAAAAGTAGAAATGACATTGGTGATTAAGGTGTATCAGATTTAGGTTCTGCTTTAGCAAATTGTACTAATCTCTCAAATTTGACACTTGATCTTAGGTAAAAACAGTTTATTTGTTTTGGTTTGTGATATTTTTACTTATAAAAATGAATTTAAAATAATATAGCTCTTTTAATTTGTTTATTGATTTTATTTTATTTTATTTGATTTACTTTTCTTTTTATATGTTATTGTATTTTTATTTTTTTCTTCTTCTATCTTTCTTAACTTAACTCATTTTTTTATTTTTAACATTTGATTTTATTATTTATTTATTCATTTCATATTATTTCATATTTTCTTTCTAAATAACTAAATAATTATATTATTTTTCTTCAATATTAAAAAAGTCGCAATTAAATTAGTGATTAAGGTGCATCAGTCTTAAGTTCTGCTTTAACAAATTGCACTAATTTTTCAATTTTAACACTCAATCTTAGGTAAAAACAGTTTATTTGTATTTGAATGTGGTACTTTTCATTATAAAAATTAATTTAAATAATACATATCTTTTAATTTGTTATTCGCTTTTTATTTGTTTTATTTATCTTTTCCTTTTTTATAATGCCAATTTTTATTTATTTATTCATTTTAAATATAATTTTGAATTAAAAATTTTATTCTTTTTAATTTTTTTTAGTATTTTTTTAATTTAATATAATATAAAAGTGCAAACTCTTTCAATGAATCATAATAATTGAAAGTAAAAAGCTAGTGTCTTAAATCAAAAAGATTAGTTGTCTTAAAAATATATTTCTAATTATGATAATAGATAGACAAGTGGTGAAAAGGATGAATAAATATTAAATATTTGAATAATAGAAAATAATATGCTTTATTATATAATATTTTATAGTTTGATATTTTAACCTAAAATATAGATATATTTATTATTATTGTTAATAAACAAACAACTTATTAAATAAAAGAAAATTAAAAAATTAAATTCACTTAAATACATGAATAAATTTCTCTAAAACCAGCCCTCAGTTTTCACCCAAACCAAAGCAATGAAAGCTTTTAATCTTAAATATTATACTCTATCATATTAAGGAATTTGAGGGAACCTTAAAATTTTATTTCTTATTTATTCAAAATTGAGAAATTTTTTGTAAATTAATTAAATTAAATTCTTAAAATATATTGATAATTAAAATTTTTATGTTGGTAAATAAATATCCAAATTTATTGTATATAGTTTATTACTTAAAAAAAAATTATCTTAATAAAAATGAAAAACTTATTTAAATAGACTAAAAACCTTTATAGGATACATGCAACCTTAATAAACACCTAAATGACATGTTCTTGCAAACAAATAAATATTATTTGAGAATAATAAGACATATTACAATTATTTTAATTTCTTAAATATTAACCTCTTTACTTAACTAAAACAGAAAAATTAATATATTAAAATAATTTTATCAAAATTTAAGCACATTAAATAATAAAATTTTATCAACACATTTATTTTTACCCATTTTTAATTCTAGCTATTTTTATGAGTATAAGTTATAATAGAAATATTAAATTTTAATAACTAATTAATTTTACACTAACTTTTTTGACATTTCTTCCTAAAGGCAAATTTATTTAATATTTTTATACAAATTAATTTGACATAAAAATTAATAAATTCATTAGTTCATTTTTAATTAATTAAATTTCCATAAATTTTTATTCAATATTTTTGAAAATAAAAATAAATGATATAAGAGAAAACATATTTTTACAATCTAGAACAGGTAATTATTCATTTTTTTATTAATACTATTTTAATTTTATTTTATTAATAAAATAAGTTTTTAAGCTCTTCACTTTAATCATTTTAGGCTCTCCATATCTATCTAAAAAATCTGTATATTTCATTTATTTATTTATTAATATTATTATTCCTCTTTTTTATATTAAAATTTTTATCAGATTTAAATATTATTTTCTAATTAAAATTATCTTCAATATTTATTCACTTATATTTATTAAAAAAATTATTTTTGAATTATTTTAACTTAATTTTGATTATAAATTATTTATTTTTTTATATTTTATATTTTTACTTCTATTTTTCCATCTAACTAACTAATTAATTAATAATACATTTTTTCTTCAATTTTTAAAAAGTAAATATTAAATTGGTGATAAAGGTATATCAGGCTTATGTTCTGGTTTAGGAAAGTGCACTAATCTCTCACAATTGACACTTTATCTTTAGTAAAAATAGTTTCTTTGCTTTGATATTTTTGAATATAAAAGTGAATTTAAAGCAATATAACGAACACGAGAGAATTAACAATCAATCTGTCGTTAAATGACCAATAGGTCCTTAGTCAATACTTATCATGCCAAATTATTTTCCTCAAAAAATTTATCTTGGAGGGCTACATATTACAACATTTTTAAAAGCTTTTTATCAAGTTTTTAATAAAAATTCAAATTTTATCAAATATTTTTTAAGACCCCCCATACCTTCCCCCCCCCCATCCCCTCCAAATTTAATCTGCTGACAAAGAAGTAAAAATCAACTTCCAGATTCGAGACTTTTAAGATTGTAGATATAATTGTTTGCTTGATAATTTAACTCATTTTTTCATTTTAAAATCTTGCTTTTATTATTAATTAATTACATTTCTAATAACTTGAAATCTATTCTTTATTTTTTGCTTTTAGTTAACTAGTTGAATATATACTTTTTCTTTAATATTTAAAAAGGTAAAATTAAATTGGTAACGAAGGTTTATCAGACTTAGGATTTAGTTTAGGAAAACACATTAATCTCTCAAATTTGATACTTGATCTTAGGTAAATACATTTATTTGCTTTTGATTATGATATTTTTGAATATGAGAATGGATTTTAAACGATATAATTCATTCATTGATTTAATTTATTTTTTTTTTATCTGCTTGAATTTTATACTATTTATTTCTTTGTTTGTTTTTAAATTTAACTCATTTTTTCATTTTCAACTTTAGTCTTTATTTCTAATTAATTAATTATTTTCTTATTATTTCATTTTTCTTTATTATTAATTCTAAATAACGAATTAACTCTGTATTGTTTCTACAAAATTTAAAAGGTGTAATTAAATTGGCGACTAGGGTTCATCAGCCTTAGGGTCTGGTTTAGAATAGTGCACTAATCTCTCAAATTTAACACTTGATCTTTAGTAAAAACAATTTATTTTATTTGATTTTGATATTTTTAAAAATAAAAATGAATTTAAAACAATTTTAATTTATTAATAAATTTTTATTTGATCTATTTTTCTTTTATTCTGATTGTGTTTTTTATTCATTTATTTATTTGTTTTTTAATTTAAGTTGTTTTTTCATCTTCAACTTTTGATTTTATTATTAATTCATAACTTATTGTTGCATATTTTTTCTTCTTTTTTTCATAACTAATTACATATATATTTTTTCTTCAATAATTAAAAAAGGGAAAATGAAATTGGTGATCAAGGTGCATCAGACTTAATTTCTGGTTTAGGAAAGTGCACTAATCTCTAAAGTTTGACACTTGATCTATAGTAAAAACAGTTTTAGAAAAAAAAAATGAATTTAAAACAAAAACACTAACTTTTTTAATTTTTATCAGCTTTTTATTTGATTTATTTTTCTTTTTTTATTCTGAATATTGTTTTTTTTTTTATTATTCTTTGTCTGTTTGCTAATTTGATTCATTTTTTCATTTATATCCTTTGCTTTTATAATTAATTCATTTCTTATTGTTTCAAATTTTTTATTCATTTTTCCTTCTAACTAACTAATTAACTCTTTTTTTCTTCAATAATTAAAAAGGGAAAATCAAATTGTTTCAATCGGCGCATCAGGCTTAGGTTAGTGCACTAATCTCTCAAATTTGATACTTCAACTAAGGTAAAAACAGTTTATTTGTTTGTTTTTGGGTTGAAATTAAAAATAAATTTAAATCAATATAACCAATTACTCTTTTAATTTATTTATCAACTTATTATTTGATTTATTTTTCTTTTTTTTGTTCTGCAAATGTTTTTTATCTATTTGTTTATTTGCTAATTTAAATCATTTTTTTCATTCTTAGCCTTTGATTTATAACTAATTAATTAATTTCTTATTATTTCAAATTCTCTATTCATTTTTTCCATCTAACTAACTAATTTACTCTATATATTTTCATCAATATTTAATAAGAGAAAATTAAATTGATGCAATTGGTTCGTTAGACTTAGGCTGTAGTTTAGGAAAGTGCACCAGTCTCTAAAATTTGACACTTCAGCTATTGTAAAAACATATTACTTGTTTTGAGTTTTGATATATTGAAAAAAAAATGAATTTAAAATAAAAAAACTAACTCTTTTAATTTATTTATTTATTACCTTTTTATTTTGATTTTTTATTTTGCTTGTGTTTTTTTTATTTATTTCTTACCTAATTTAACTCATTTTTCCATTTTTAACTTTAGCTCTTATTATTAGTTAAATAATTGATTTCTTATAATTTCATATTTTTTCTTGAATATTTAAAAAATCATAATTAAATTGGCGATGGAATGGAATTTACTCGCACATGAAACATGCACTCAGAAAACATCTTAAAAATAATTTTTTTTTATTTATTCATTTATTTATTTATTTTTTTATATTATTTTTATTTTATTTTTTTTTATATTAATTTTTATAAATATTTTTTTTTATATTTATTTTACTTATATTTTACGATTTAGACACTTGATCTTTAGTAAAAATATTTGCTTTAGATGGATATATTCTTAAATATAAAACTATTACTCACTCTTTTAATTTATTTATTAGACTTTTATTTGATTTGTTTTTTTTTTTTTCATCTGCTTGTGTTTTTTATTTAATCATTTATTTGTTAATTTAACTCTTTTTTCATTTTCAACTTTTGCTTTTATGATTTTTTTTATTTATTTTTTATTTTTTATATTTTTTTCATCATTTTTTCCTTCTAACTAACTTACTAACTAAAAAAATTATTATTTTTTCTTCAATATTTAAAAAGGCAAAATTAAATAGGTGCAAGTGGTGCATCAGGCTTAGGTTCTGGTTTAGGAAAGTGTAATAATCTCTCAAATTTGAAACTTCAACTTAAGTAAAAAGATATTATTTGTTTTGGATTGTGTTATTTTTGAAAAAAAAAATGAATTTAAAATACTAAAACCAACTCTTTTAATTTATTTATTCTCTTTTTATTTGATTTATTTTTCTTTTTTTATCTGCTTATGTTTTTAATTTATTGAAATTGCTTTTTAATTCATTTTTTAATTTCAGCTTTTGCTTCTATTGTTAGTTAATTTATTATTTAATATTTTCTTAAAATTTAAAAGTGAAAATTAAATTGGTGCAACTGGTGCATCAGGTTTATGTTCTGGTTTAGGAAAGTGTACTTATCTCTCAAATTTGACACTTTATATTAGGTAAAAACAGTTTGTTTGTTTATTTGTTTTTGATTATAATATGTTTGAAAAAAAAAAAATTAAAACAATACAACAAACTATAAATCATTTATTTTTTTTTAATTTTCAACTTACCTTTATTATAATTAATTTCTTATTATTCATTTTTTCCTTCTAACTAACTTATTAATTTTTAATTTTTGTTTAATATTTAAAAAGTGGAAATTAAATTGGTGATGAAAGTGAATCAAGCTTAGGCTCTGGTTTAGAAAAGTTCACTAATCTCTCAAATTTAACACTTGATTTAAGGTAAAAACAAGCATATTATTTATTTTGGGTTGTGATATTTTTGAATATAAAAATGAATTTAAAACAATATAACTATCTTTTATGATTTATTAATCTATTAACTTTTTATTTGATTTATTTTTATTTTTTATTTTATCTTGCTTGTGTTTTTTTTTATATTTAACTCATTTTTGTATTTTCAACATTTGCTTTTATTATTTATTTCTTTCTTTCTTATTATTTCATGTTTTGTCTTCATTTTTTCCTCCCAAATAACTAGTTAACTCTATATTTTTTTCTTTAATATTTAAAAAGTGGAAATTAAATTGGTGATGAAAGTGCTTCAAGCTTAGGTTTTGGTTTAGAAAAGTGTACTAATCTCTCAAGTTTGACACTTGATCTTTAGTAAAAATAGTTTATTATTTTTATTTTGTGATGAATTTAAAGCAATATAACTAACTTACTCTTTTAATGTATTTATTAGCTATTTAATTGATTTAATTTATTTTGAAAGTGTTTTTTATTCATTCATTTACTTACTTATTTTTTGTTTATTAATTTAACTAATTTTTTCATTTCCAACTTTTACTTTTACCTAATTAATTCAATTCACTGCTTATTATTTTATATTTTTTCTTCTTTTTTTTACATATAGTTAACCAATTAATTCTATGTTTTTTATTCTTCAATATTTAAAAAGTGCAAATTAAATTGGTTCAAATGGTGCATAAGGTTTAGGCTCTGGTTTAGGAAAATGCACTAATCTCTCAAATTTGACAATTATTCTTTAGTAAAATCTATTTATTTTTTTTTGGATTTTGATATTTTTGAAAATAAAAATGAATTTAAATAAGAAAACTAACTTTTTTTTTTTCATTTTCCACTTTTACTTTTATTATAAATTAATTAATTTTTATTACTGCAAATCCTCATTAATTAAAGTAAAAAAAATAAACTTCTTTTTCACTTACCTTTGTAGTCTTAATATAAAATTTATAAAAACTTGACCTTAATTAATGAGAATTTATAGTATATCTATTTTATCTTCATTTTTTCTTTCTAAATAACTAATTAACTACTATTTTTTCTTCTATATTTAAAAAGGTAAAATTAAATTGGTGGTAAAGGTGCATCAGGCTTAGGTTCTGGTTTAGAAAAATGCACTAATCTCTAAAATTTGACACTAGATCTAAGGTAAAAACATTTTATTCCTTTTGGATACTTTTATTTTTGAATATGAAAGAAAACAGTGCAATATATCTATTAATATATTTGTTAGCTATTTATTTGATTTATTGTTCATTTTTTTTTATTCTACTTCTACTTCTATTTTTATTTATTTATTTAATTATTTGTTTGTTAATTTAATTCATTTTTTCATTTTCAATTTTTGATTTTATTAATATTCATTTCTTATGTTTGTTTTTAGAGTTTTTTATAATTTTTAACAAATAAAAAAAAATATTTTTAAATCATTTACTTTTTCCTATTACAAACTGATTAAATAAATATATATTTTTTCTTTAATATTAAAAAGTCGAAATTAAATTGATGCAATTGGTGCATCAGACTTAGGTTGCGGTTTAGGAAAGTGCACTAATCTCTCAAATTTGACTCTTTATCTTTAGTAAAAAAAGTTTATTTGTTTTGGATTGTGATATTTTTGAAAATAAAAATTAATTTAAAACAATATTATTAAATAATTCTTTTAATTCATTTATTTATTTATGAGCTTTTTATTTGATTTATTTTCTTTTTTTATTGAACTGTGTTTTATTTAGTTATTTGTTTGTTTTTTTTGTTAATTTAGCTCATTTTTTCATTTTGACTTTTATTTTAATTTTATTTAAATTAATTTCTTAATATTTCCTAATTTTTCTTCATTATTTCCTTAAAGCTAATTAAATATTTATTTTTTCTTCAATATTTAAAAAGATATAATTTGATTAGTCATGAAGGTGCATTAGGCTTAGGTTCTGGTTTAGGAAAGTGCACTAATCTCACAAATTTGACACTAAATCTTTTGTAAAAACAGTTTGTTTACATTCTTTGGGTTTTAATATTTTTGAAAATAAAAATGAATTTAAAAAAAATAATTAATTCTTTTAATCTATTTTTTAGCTTTTTATTTAATTTATTATTCTTTTCTTTTATACTACTTGTGTTTTTTTTATTTATCTCTTTGTTTGTTTATTTAAATTAACTTTATATTTTTTTTTCAATATTTAAAAAGTGGAAATTAAATTGGTGCAATTGGTGCATCAGGCTTAGGTTCTGGTTTAGGAAATAGCATTAATCTCTCAAATTTAACACTTGAATTAAGGTAAAAACAGTTTATTTGTTTGTTTGTTTTGGATTGTGATATTTTTAATTATAAAAATTAATTTAAAACAATATAGACAATTAACTCTTTTAATTATTATTTTATTTATTTTTCTTTTTTTATTAATTAATTTAACTTATTTTTTAAATTTCAACTTTTGCATTTACTTATTAATTAATTAATTGATTTTTTATTATTTCATATTTTTTCATCTTCCTTCTAAATAACAAACTAACTAACAAATTAAGTTTATATTTTTTCTTTAATATTTAAAAAGTGGAAATTAAATTGGTGATGAAGGTCCATCAGGCTTAGGTTGTGGTTTAGGAAAGTGTACTAATCTCTCAAATTTGAAACTTAAACTAAGGTAAAAACAGATTATTTGTTTTCTGTTTATGATATTTTTAAATATAAAAAGGAATTTAAAACAAAACAAAACAACTCACTCTTTAAATTTATTTACTTATTTATTTATTAGCTTTTTATTTTATTTATTTATTTTTCTTTTTTTTATTGATCAATTGTGTTTTTTTATGTTAGTTAATTTAACTTATTTTTTAATTTTCAACTTTTACTCTTATGATTAATTAATTAATTTCTTATTATTTAATATTTTTCTTCATTTTTCCTTCTAACTAACTAATTAACTTTATAAAAAGTTTCAATAAAATTGGCAATGGAGGTTTATCAAGCTTAGTTTTAGGTTTAGGAAATTGCACTAATCTCTAAAATTTCACACTTGATCTTTAGTAAAAACAGTTTATTTATTTGTTTGTTTTGGATTGTGATATTTTTGAATATATAAGTGAATTTAAAACAATTTAACTAGCTCTATTTTCTTATTAGATTTATTATTCTTTTTTTATTTTGCTTCCGTTTTATTTTATTTTAATTTATTTCTTTGTCTGTTTGATTTGTTAATTTAACTGATTTTTTCATCTTCAACATTTGATTTTATTATTATTTAATTAATTTATTTCTTTCTTAAAGCTTAATATTTTTTCTACATTTTTTTGTTTTAACTAACTATTTAACTATATATTTTTTCTTTCATATTTAAAAAGTGGAAATTAAATTTATGCAATTGGTGTAGCAGACTTTGGTTCTCGTTTATAAAATTGCACTAATCTCTCAAATTTAACACTTTAACTAAGGTATTAACATATTATTTGTTTTTAATTGTAATATTTTAGAAAAAAAAAAATGAATTTAAAATAATAAAATGACTCCTTTTAATTTATTTATTTATTCGGTATTTAATTTTATATTTTTTATTATGCTTGTGTTTTTTTATATTTATTTCTTAATTTAACTCATTTATATTATAATTTTCGATTTTTCTTTTATTTTTAGTTAAATAATTAATTTTATTGTTTCATCATTTTTCTTCATTTTTCCTTCTAAATAACTAATTAATAAAAAGTGGTAATTAAGTTGGGGACAAAGGTGCATCAAGTTTAGGCTCTGGTTTAGGAAAGTGCCCTAATCTCTAGAATTTGACACTTCAACTAATGTAAAAACTGATTTTTTGTTTTTAGATTGTAGTATTTTTAAATATAAAAATGAATTTAAAACAAAACAACTCACTCTTTTAATTTATTTATCTGCTATTTATTTGATTTACTATTCTTTTTTTTACTTGCATTTTATTTATTTATTTCTTTGTTTGTTTATTTATTTATTTTTTTATTAATTTAACTCATAACTTTATTTTCAACTTTTACTTTTATTAATAAATTTCTTATTATTTCATCAATTTTTGTTCTAATTAACTAATTAATTAACTTTATATTTTTCTTCAATATTTAAAAAGGTTGAATAAAATTGGTCCAATAGGTGCATTAGACTTAGGTTCTGGTTTAGGATAGTCCACAAATCTCTCAAATTTGACACTTGATCTAAGGTAAAATCAGATTATTTGTTTTGAATTATGATATTTTTGAAATAAAAATGAAATTAAAACAATTTTACTAACTCTATTTCTTTTTCTTATCATTTTATTTGATTTATTTGATTTTTTTTATTATTATGCTTCTGTTTATTTTTTATTTATTCTTTTGTTTATTTGTTTGCTTGCTAATTTAATTCATTTTTTTCATTTTCTATTTTTGCTTTTATTATTTTAATGAATTAATTAATTTCTTATTATCTTATTTTTTCTTCATTTTTCCCTTCTAATAACTAATTATCAATATATTTTTTTTCAATATTTATAAAGTGAAAATTAAATTGATGCATACATACATACATACATACATACATACATACTCGCACATGGTGACATGCACTCGGGATAGGGGCCCTATATATAATTACTTATACATTATTATTATACGTATACCAGTTTATTTATATATAATTGTGGGTAATATACTAGAAGGGAAGGGTCACCTACACCCTAATGGCATTTCTACTAATCTTCCATGATTTGACTACGCATTATGCTCGCTTCCCATTTGTATTCCAGATCTTCTGTTCAGAATGGGGCCTCCTCTTTACCACCTATCAGATTTGGCCCTTCCCTCCTACCAAGGAGACCGCTGGTAACATTCACATTTTTACATGGAATTTTTCGAAATAAAGGGGGCGGTATAGGATTCGAACCCCCGATATCACTGCTAAGACCCTCCGACTCGCCCACTCGAGCCGCTTAGCCCTTCTTTAAATTGATGCAATTGGTGCAACAGGATTAGGTTCTGGTTTAAAAAAGTGCACTAATCTCTCAAATTTGATGCTTAGATTATGGTAAATGCCTATTATTTATTTTTATTGTGATATTTTTCAGCAAAAAAAATAATTTAAAACAATATAACTAACTCTTATAATTTATTTATTAGCTTTTTATTTATTTATTTTTTCTTTTTTTTACTTTCTTATGTTTTTATTTATTTATTTATTTGTTTCTTTTTTTGCTTGTTTGATTAACTCATTTTTTCATTTTCAACTTTTTTTATTTTTAGTTAATTAATTAATTTTTATTATTTCATATTTTTTTTTCTTTTTTTCCTTCTAACTAACATATCTATTACTGAATATTTAAAAAGTAGCAATTAAATCGGCGATTAAAGTGCATCAGGCTTAGGTTTTGGTTTAGGAGAGTGCACTAATCTCTCTAACTTGACACTTGATCTTTAGTAATAACAGTTTATTTGTTTGTTTTGGATTGTGAATATTTTTAAATTAAAATTAATTTAAAACAATATAATTGACTAATTAACTAACTAACTTTTTAAGCTTATTAATTATTATTTCATATTTTTTCTTTCTAATTAGTTATTTAAATCTTTATTTTTTATTTAATATTTAAAAAGGGAAAATTAAATTAGTGAAATTGGTGTATCAGGCTTTGGTTCTCATTTATAAAAGTGCATTAATCTCTTGAATTTGACACTTCTACTAAAGTAAAATATTTGTTTTGGTTAATGATGTTTTTGAAAATAAAAATGAATTTAAAACAATTTATTTTTTAGGTTTCATTTTATTTTTATTATGCTAAAATTCTTTTATTTACATTTTTAAAAATATAATTTTTTAATTTTTTTACATTTAATTTTTTTTTGTAATTCACACTAATTAATTTATATTAAAAGTTAAAACAAAATCAAGAAATAAAAATAATCGACAGCAAAGTGTCTCAAGTCAAAAAGATTAGTTGCCTTAAAAATAAATTATTGAAGATTAAAAAGTGATGAAATAGGACGAATTATTTATTATAAATATATTTGAATTCTTTAATATACTGTAAATGCTCATTAATTAAGGCATTCCCAAAGTATCTTTTTAGCCCAAAAAAAAGTGCCATATCAAATACAGCGTCTATGTAATTTAAAATAAAAACAAGGTTTCATTTATTACAAAATATCCAAATTTATTTAAAAATGTATAAAATTTATAAACATATATTTATTTATATGTATATATTTTTGCTAAATAATTTTTATGTCATTTTATAAAGAACTATCCATTTTATTTATTGTATTCATTATTTATAATGTTTTTCACTAAGTGAGATTATGTTATTTCATCACATTCAATTAAATTTATTAAAAATATACATTTTATTTTTTAGTCATAAAAAAAATGTTATTTTAATTTTAATTAATTAGTTAGTGTATTTAAGTCCTTCAAAAATCTATTTTAATCTTAATTATATAAATATAAATATTTAAATTATTTTATAATCTTATTAATTTTACTTTTATTTCTTATTTTTTTAATTGATCTCTTAATATTTATTCGAATTATTGTTTTGATTGAGAAATCTGATTATTACTATTAGTTTTTATATATTAAATGTATCTTTATCAAACAATTTGTTTTAAATATATTTAATAAAATCATTTTTTTCTATATTAAAATTATTATTTTAGATTTATTTAGAAATAAATAAATTTATTTTGAGTAAAATAGCTAATCACTAAGTGAAAAGCGTAAATCAACAAAATAATCAATTTTTTCAAAATTTCTTGCTTTATCAATCGATAAATTAAGTTTTTACTATAAATAAAGTGTCAAACTTGTGATATTCTTGCACTACGCTATTCCTGTGCCTAAATCTTTTGCACCCTCATCACCAATACTATTATCGCTTTAAATATAAGAATAAATAATGAATTAAGAAAATAAATTTGGAGGAGAAAGGATTGTAAAAAAAGATTGTTGCTTTTGTTAGTATGTTCGTTTGTTTTTGAAGGAGTAAGTAACTCAGTATGTAAGTAAGTAAGTAATTAAGTAATTAAGTTAACAAATTGATTATTTTTTAGTTGAGGAGTAAGTAAGTAAGTTATTAAAAAAGCAATCTAATAAAAAAATAAATAACTAACTAACTAACTCTAACTTGCTTACTAACGAAGTGACTTAATTAGCTAATCACTAAGTGAAAAGCGTAAATCAACAAAATAATCAATTTTTTCAAAATTTCTTGCTTTATCAATCGATAAATTAAGTTTTTACTATAAATCAAGTGTCAAACTTGTGATATTCTTGCACTACGCTATTCCTGTGCCTAAATCTTTTGCACCCTATGCACCAATACTATTATACCTTTAAATATAAGAATAAATAATGAATTAAGAAAATAAATTTGGAGGAGAAAGGATTGTAAAAAAAGATTGTTGCTTTTGTTAGTATGTTCGTTTGTTTTTGAAGGAGTAAGTAACTCAGTATGTAAGTAAGTAAGTAATTAAGTAATTAAGTTAACAAATTGATTATTTTTTAGTTGAGGAGTAAGTAAGTAAGTTATTAAAAAAGCAATCTAATAAAAAAATAAATAACTAACTAACTAACTCTAACTTGCTTACTAACGAAGTGACTTAATTAGCTAATCACTAAGTGAAAAGCGTAAATCAACAAAATAATCAATTTTTTCAAAATTTCTTGCTTTATCAATCGATAAATTAAGTTTTTACTATAAATAAAGTGTCAAACTTGTGATATTCTTGCACTACGCTATTTCTGTGCCTAAATCTTTTGCACCCTATGCACCAATACTATTTTTGCTTTAAATATAAGAATAAATAATGAATTAAGAAAATAAATTTGGAGGAGAAAGGATTGTAAAAAAAGATTGTTGCTTTTGTTAGTATGTTCGTTTGTTTTTGAAGGAGTAAGTAAC